TTTTTAAAGCTATGAAGGGAGCCAGATGATTCATTTCCCTCATTACAAATTCTTCCTTAAGGAGGCATTGTAACTTATTTCATACTATATTATGAGAGGTACTCATGAGGCATGGTGATCCTATTTTCGAAAAACTATTGAAGAATTGTGAGTTGGTCGAGCAACTTGTAAATAATAAGTGTAAATGAGTTTTTAGATTAGTTTGTCAGCTTCTTCTAAAGGTTGAAAGATATGAATTTGATTTTCCTCTAATTTACACATGTAACCATCAAGGGACAAGATTTGGGTGTTTTTGCTTGCTTGTGAAAAGAGTCATGGTTGCCAATTAGCCAATAGAAGAGTATTTGTAACAAATTGAGAATATTTCTCCCACAATGTTTAAAGTTGTTATGCGCGAAAAAATTTACGGCAAAAAAATGAGAATTTTAACATCGTACTTGATGTTTGCTAGAAAATTTGCGGCAGTAGAGTTGCATATTATTGTTTTTAGTGTGGTACGGAGATTCAGTGCACATTCAAAATAGAGAAAACAACTAATAATGACACCAGAAGTTTTTACGTGGAAAACACATAAAGGAAAAATCCACGGGAACTGATCTAACTGAAGAGTTTCACTATAAAAAATGATTACAGTTGCAACTACTTGTTCCACTAGCGGGAAAGTGTTAATAGGTTTTCCAAGTTACAGCGTCAATTAACGACGACTGATAGTGATTGGCGACGTCCGGTCGGTAGTGGTCGACGATGTTTGGCGGTGATCACTGGTGGTTAGCGATGATCGACGACGGTCCGCCGTGGTTGATGATGACAGTAGTGTTTGACAGGGGTCTATGGTTGTCGCCGACGATTGACGATGGTCGACGAATCGTCGGCGGCAAATAAAAGATGATTACAGTTGCAACTACTTGTTCCACTAGCGGAAAAAGTGTTAATAGGTTTTCCAAGTTACAACGTCAATTAACGACGACTGATAATGATTGGCGACGTCCGATCGGTAGTGGTAGACGATGTTTGGCGGTGATCGACGGTGGTTAGCGATGATCGACGACGGTCAGCTGTGGTTGATGATGACAGTAGTGTTTCACAGGGGTCTATGGTTGTCGTCGGCGATTGACGGTGGTCGACGACGACAGTTGTCAAGACGTTCGATTTGACTATAGACTCGTCAGAGTCGACATTCGTTTGACCTTCCAAATGTGTTCACAAAAATTTTAAAACCAATTTAATAGCTTAATCTAGGCTTGATTTGGTTTGGATTGGACCAACTTTGGTAATATTGGGTTCTTCTTGTCGAGTAGGTCAATTTGACTGTAAGTTTGCTGAAATCAAAATTTTGGATGACATTTTATCGAGATTTGAATATTTATTGCTCAAAAAATTGCCTAGAAATCAATGTGATGCCTCGATATTCATGCTAGATGATGGAATTTTATTGATGGTGTATCAATAGTCTTAGACATGAATAAAGTAGAAGAACATCAAAGGCAATAGAATTTTTTATAAGAAAGCTAAAAAAATAATCACAAAAGTTATCCCAAATGAAATGATTTATTATATTTGTTGATATCATAAAAAAGTATTCATCCCATTAATTGGAGAAGGCCGCATTAAAAAAATGAATCACTCAATTTTAGCCTATTCTCTTATATCGTCATGGAAGTAACGGAGGCCAAAATTTGACAACTGGCAATAGCTGTGTTACATATTTCTTCCCAGAGATTATAAAAATGACTCCATAAGATTATATGCAATTTAATGTCTTTAATAGGCCTTGATGCAAATAGTGATTATAGAGGAAATGGTATTTAAATGCTTAACTAATTGAAGTGCTAAGCCAAGTTCTGCAAATAACAATTTCCCATAAATTTTGTCCTTTAGTGAGCCCTAAATAGCTGGCCACCATTTACACAAGAATAAATAAATCATAATAATAATAATAATAATAATAAAATTATATTTTTTTTTGTTCCATAAAATTGATCAGAAGCCCGCATTAACAGGAAATTTAAAAACTCAATTATGTCCTCATTAATAATAACAGACTTATGCATGAATCCACCTTTCTTTTTTTTGCCGTGCAAACAAAGAAAGTAGTCGTCTCAGAATATGAATTTTTAGCGTGTGTTTGAGACAGATTGTGCGTTTCAGAATAAACAATCTGCTTATCCTGAAACACGGACGGTCTACATTTAGTGTAAAAATAGAACCGCATTTTCAGATAAGCGGCCAAAACACAGAATTCAAACGGTACTGCGGCGTTTTTAAAAACGCCCCCCAAAGAAAAAAATTACAGAAGAACAAGATTTTTGGATATATATTCAATTCATTACTTTTAGAAAAATATCAATATATCAAGACTACTAAGCAATTTTTTTTTTTTTAACATTGCTCATTGAATTATTCCATCAATCAAGGAGCTTCTCTAGGAGATGCTCAAGAGGCAGTGCAAAATACAAAGCTATAATTAACTAAAGAGCCGTGCAGTGTTCCACACTTCTCGAATGCTGAAATTCACCAGACACGACATGACCCAAACAACTGTTAGACATGTCCGATTTAAATAGCATTAAAATAAAAAAGGACACGTGGTCTTAAATTAGTGAATTAAAAAAATTTGTAAAAAAAATTCAAATATCTATCATATATTTTTATAACTAAAATTTTAAAAAAATTATTCAAAGATAACTCTATTTTCACAACAGGGATTGAAGGTCAAAGGCGGCACAAATTTTTTATGTGTGAGAGAAAAGCTTGGCCCCATTGTAACAACTCACAACATTTAGCCCCCTTTCTCGCATTAGAGAAAGATGACAAAAACAAATTTGGAAGGAGGGTTCACATGTTGACTAGCATTGGCACGATGCGCCGGAGAAGGGCTTCTCGCATTAGAGAAAGATGACAAAAACAAATTTGGGAGGGTTCACATGTTGACTAGCATTGGCACCATGCGCCGGAGAAGGGCAAATGTCAAAATAGGCCTATTATGAATGAAATCAATGCGATGAATTGTAAATGAAGCAAAGAGAAATAAAATACAGTCTTGTGATAAAAATATAACAAGGAAAAAAACACAAATTTTAAAGAAATTTACAAGGCAGAGCGAAAAGAACAATTTCGCATTCTGCAGTGAAATATTTGCTATTTTCTTTGTGGCCTTTGCCAAATTTGTTTAGCTCTCTACTTTGCATTCTTTACATGGTCATAGAAGATGGCTACGAATTTCAACTCTATAAAACAATAAAAATTTTAAAAAATCAGAATAAAAAAAGAAACTTTTGCTGTCTCCACAGCTCTCCACCGTTGGTTGAATGAATACTTATGTGGAGCTTGGAAGACCATTCATATTATCAATTTAATTTATATTTCTCTAATGGGTGGTGGGTGGCTGTAGGTATGTTGTTGGTGTGCAGCTTCATGTATTGTTCATCCTTCAAATTTGTTTTATAAGAAAAAATTAGTGTTAGATAGTGCCAGTTATTGCCTATTTGAAGCCGTAATTACGAAAAAAATAATACATCTGGAGTCCGGTTTGCGTCCGGGCAACAACTAAGATCCACCGGAAGGAGCGGAGGAATAAAAAAAAAACAACCTCTGGTGGATCGCAGCCATTGTCCGAACACAGCTTGCGTCCGAAACATAATATTTTTTCATAATTACGAAGCCCAACCACCGGAAACTTAACAAAGTTATTTTGCTGAAGTTTCTAATGTAATGCAACCTTCTAAGTTTCATTCTTTGGGTTTCCTCAGGTGAGTTGGACAACTAAGGTTGCCCATATATTGACAGAAATTAAATGTAGATTGAAGTGAGCAGATAACTTCATAAGGAACAGTAACCATATTAAGATTTTAGGATAATATATCAATGCAAACAATTATATTCAAATTGCATTGGTGATTTCAATCTTCTTTAATATTTATGACACTATTTACATTGATTTTTTGTTGAATGTTTAAGATTATAAAAGTCATATGGGATCATCTTAAAATTATCAAATCCAAAATTTTAATGAAATTTTGCAACATAAATAAATCACTTGCTTCTAGTGCTCAGAAAATAAGTGAAGTAACATACTTTTATCACTGATTTCCTCTGTGATTTGTTTTATCTTTATCACCATCATATTTTGAACAAAGAAAATGCTTCTTCAACAACATTTGGATGCAAATTACACAACCAAGAGGCGTTGAAGCCACTTGAGAAGGATGTTTCACTGCAATTTCTCTAGGATTCTGTAGTAAAATGAAAAAATATTAGTCCCCAGGATGTATCTGTGCGTTGTACAGACTTCTTTTGCTGTCGGATGCACCTCTGAATATTTTAATCCACTAGCTTTAAAGCTCGTTTAAGCAGAATTATGAAGAAATTTATAATCAATTCATGCAATTTAAAAAAAAAATTAAATTAAAATGCTGTTTCAACTCATATTTTAAAAGCGATGGATGTTCTGGCTAGTTGACATTGAGAGAGATGGAATTAATACTAATTTGATTCATCTGTTTGCAGGGCTTTTGTCATTAAATTTTTTTATTCATTCTATATATGTACAAGATATAGATGCAATGAACCAAAGGTATAACATTCTTGAGTTTAGAGGTGTAGTGGACAGCTCAACATTGCCCACTTTGTAGATTCCACGAACCAACTGTCATGATAATATTAGTAAATTCCTGGCACATATTAATTTCTTATTAATTAAATAGAGTGGAAATGGATTTAATAGCATTCTTTTTTTGTTACTAATAACCAAATTGGGATCTTTCCTACAAGCAGAGAATGAGCAGATAAGCCGGCAACAAACACATGATTGAAGAAGAAAATTTCTTTTTAATTCTATTGAAAGAAGGGTAATCAGTTTATATAACAATTACCAGATCAAACAGCATTATAATCATCCATTGTGAACCCTAAAAGTTGGGTTTTTTCTTCCTTTTTTTTTTCTTTTTCTCAGACCCTAAAAGTTGGGTTTTTTCTTCCTTTTTTTTTTTTTCTTTTTCTCATTCTTTTTCTCAGTCCAAAAAAGGTAGCGTTTTTCCTCTAACAACAATAAACAGATACAAATCAGAATAAATTGATAAAAAGAGGGAGAAAGTAAGTCTAACCTTCTGCCTCATCGTCCCTCTCCTGCACAATCCTTACAGGCCCTCCCCTTCTCTGCTCTAATGCCGATGTTGCAGCAGACCCAACTCTCCCTTTTGGTGGTTCAACATACGCCGCAGCTGACATCTCCATTTGTGCAATCCTAACAGCGCCAATCAGCTTTTCAGGAAGCTCATCCTCTGCCTGCGCCTCCACAACAAATCCCATATCAATAGTCACAGAAGTCACACAACCAAGCGCCAGCTTTAGTATCGCACTGGCAATAGCTGAACTCCCAATATCCACATCAATTTCCAGATAGTTTTCCCCCTTATGGTAATTGCAGACCAGAGCCTTCCCCAAAAGGCAAGCCGAGTAGTTCCCCACTGCCGCTTTCACGATCCAAGGCCCCTTCACGATCCGATTCACCATCTTGAATCGGGAGTTACGGAACGCATCGTCGCCATGGATGAAACGGTGGAGCAGTGATCCGGGAGGGATTGGATCATCCGTCGCAAAGTAGAAGACGGCGGAGTGGCATTCATGGCCGGGAACCTGCAGATTTACAGCAAAGACGAAGGATTTCAGGAATTTTCCATATGAATGAGCGCGGCGGAGAGCTGCTGCAACGCGGTTGTCAGGGCGGCCGAGAACGTTGTCGAGGCGATGAGGAGATCGGAGCCAGTCAACGCCAGCGGGGACTAACAACCAGTTGCCGGAAGGAAGCTTCTTCCGGCGGGAGAAGTAGTCGGGACCGCGTAGGGAGAAGAGATCGCCGGGAGGGGAAGCCCAGCCGTTGGATCCATCGTGGAGGTCCACGCGGTGGAGGGATCCACCGTCGATGACCTCCTGCCGCCAGTCGTAGGGGAGCTCGCCGTCGGAATCGGAAGGGGAGTTCTGGGTGGGTTTGACTTTAGTCGGAAACATTGATGTTGCAGGAAGTCTAGGTTTTGCCGGCGAGGGAAGGGGTTAGCAGTGGAGACTGGAGACAGCTGGGGAGAAAGGCATCTGCTTTGTGGCGCAATCGCC